ATATATTATTTAGCTTATTTTATGTTTCAAATTTATTAATTTTATTTCTAATCTTTAAATATTCAAATGTATAGTATATCTATTCTTCTTATAAGAATGGTATTTCTAATCTATCAGTCTACTATTTCTAATCTAATCTACTTGAAAGATACTTACTTAGCACTCCAAAATACCTTTATAGTCTCTTTGAGATCATTATTCAATTATTCAATAACATAGTTTGAGAATCTCTCAATACCTGATTGTGTAATTAAATCAAATCTTAGGCTTGATACATAAGAACCTGATGTAAAATATCTAAGAGTTGATATCTACTCAGTAGGTATGTTGAAAAATGCACTATTTATGGAGAAGTCCAAACATTGTTAAACTTGCTTCAGTGTTATTTGCTATTAAAGTTTTTCCTTTTCTTTCCTGATGATGAGGGCATCTCTGTATTTTCTTTCAATGGGTGAACATTCGCCAAGGTGGAGAATGTTGAGTTGCAATCGTATATAGAGTATCTATTATTCGCAAATTGCATCATATTCTTTTGCCTTGGTGCAGTTACTTTTGTCCCCCCACACAGGCCGAGGTAGTTCTTTTATTATAGAGGCATTTTGTAAAACTGAGTTTTGTCAATCCACTATATGTACTAAAAAAAAGCAATGTTGTTCCAGGCAGGTACCTAAGAGTAAAAAATTTCACAAGTGCCTTGATGGAGGAGGCACATGTCAAAACATGTTAAAATTCTTGACGAACTTTCCTTCTTCTACTTTAATCTGTGTGCATTGCATGAGTATTTACAGAGCACAAGGTGTATTAAGGACACATGTTATATTTATATTTAGTACCTCTCTAAAGTAATGCCATGAGGCTCTTTTTTCCCTGGAAAGACGGATAGAAAATCATTGTGCAGATAAGCTGTAAAATTTGGATCCATGGAAACTGCAAATGCCTCAGGCTTCTCAATAACATTATCCGTCAGCTGAATAGACAGATGGCATGGAGTAAATGACTGCAAAGTAGATGCAAAACAAAAAGCTCATAAATCATGGAGCAACCCGTGAAGTAGAGAATGACGCAAAAGGAATAATTAATTAAGAGTATGATGGAGGAAAGGGGAAAAAAAGGCAAATGGAGAAGGCTTACACATCCCAATCGGTAAATATTCTCTTCATGGAGAAGCACTCGTGCGTTTTCATAATATACTGAATCCATTAGCTTCCCAGCTTTACGGGATTTTTCATATTCATATAATTGAAGAAGTTTATTATCCATCTCATCAGCTGCAACAGCTTGAAGCTGCACAAAGAACTAAAAATCACAAGTTTGTTGGAAACAAGGGTCGAAAACACATCTCAACAAGAGAACTAAGGGCCGAACCTGTTTGACCAATTTATATATTAGCTTATCCAAAGTGAATAACACATACGACTGGTTTCCTATGATCGCTCGGCATTCATCTTCAAACTTTGCATTGTCAGCAGATCCATCAAGCAAGTTATACAGTACACTCATAAATCTGCATCAACATAGGATGTTAGCAGACACAACCATATCTGATTGTAGAAGTATTAACAATTTGATATGAAGCTACCTAGCATATGGGTCAGGTGAGCAAGCGTCTTTTGAAGTTCTCCATTTCTTTTCACCACCTATAGAATTTGTCTTAGCAGAAAGGATTCTCTCATATAAAGTCTGAAAAACAAACAAG